TACCCCTACCCCTACCCCCTAACCCTAACCCCTAACCCTAACCCTAACGCTAACCCCTAACCCTACCCCTAACCCCTAACCCTAACCCCTAACCCTAACTCTGGAGTGGGTGGGCGGACCGCATCTTCCCCCCGGAGAGCGGCGTTTGCGGAACCGGGAGTCCTTTCCGAGACTCGAACTCGCCACCCCACGACCACCGGCCCTGCCCCGGCTCACCTCGTGGGGCTTCCGGTCCTGCTTGCGCAGCCGGGCGCTGGCCTCGGGCCGGTCCTTGCCCAGGTGCACCACCTGCCCTTTGGCGCCTTTCCGGACCAGGTGCCGGCGCACGCCGGGCACGTCCTCGAACCTGTGACCTGCAGGGGAGGATATGGGGGGGGAGAAATGAGGGGCGTGGAGAGGGCCGGTGCCCACCAGGGATTCCTGGGGAATGGTCCGGAGATGAGACCCCCAACCCCCCAGCTCAGGCCTGCAAGGAGGGTGGGGGGGGTCTCTGCCCTGAAGGGACCTCAGAGGTCATCTAGTCCAACCCCCTGCTCAAGGAGACTCTTACAGAACAGCAGAGTTAAGAATAAGAATAGAATAGAAAATATAGAATAGAATAGGAAGGGACCTCAGAGGTCATCTAGTCCAACCCCCTGCTCAGGCGGGAGACCCTGACAGAACAACAGAGTGAATAGAATAGAATAGAATAGAATAGTTGGAAGGGACCTCAGAGGTCATCTAGTCCAACCCCCTGCTCAGGCGGGAGACCCTGACAGAACAACAGAGTGAATAGAATAGAATAGAATAGAATAGTTGGAAGGGACCTCAGAGGTCATCTAGTCCAACCCCCTGCTCAGGCGGGAGACCCTGACAGAACAACAGAGTGAATAGAATAGAATAGAATAGAATAGAATAGTTGGAAGGGACCTCAGAGGTCATCTAGTCCAACCCCGTGCTCAAGTGCTAGATCCTTACAGAACAGAGTGAATAGAATAGAATAGAATAGTTGGAAGGGACCTCAGAGGTCATCTAGTCCAACCCCCTGCTCAGGCGGGAGACCCTGACAGAACAACAGAGTGAATAGAATAGAATAGAATAGAATAGAATAGTTGGAAGGGACCTCAGAGGTCATCTAGTCCAACCCCGTGCTCAAGTGCGAGATCCTTACAGAACAGAGTGAATAGAATAGAATAGAATAGTTGGAAGGGACCTCAGAGGTCATCTAGTCCAACCCCCTGCTCAAGTGGGAGACCCTTACAGAACAGAATTAAGAATAGAATAGAATAGAAATAAGAATAGAATAGAATAATAGAATAGAATAGAAATAAGAATAGAATAGAATAGAATAGAATAGAATAGAATAGAATAGAATAGAATAGAATTGGAAGGGACCTTGGAGGTCGTCTAGTCCAACCCCCTGCTCAAGCGGGAGACATTTACAGAACAACAGAGTTAAGAATAGAATAGAATAGAATAGAATAGAATAGAATAGTTGGAAGGGACCTCAGAGGTCATCTAGTCCAACCCCCTGCTCAACCAGGAGACCCTTACAGAACAACAAAGTTAAGAATAGAATAGAACAGAAATAAGAATAGAATAGAATAGAATAGAATAGAATAGCAGAGTTGGAAGGGACTTCAGAGGCCATCTAGTCCAACCCCCTGCTCAAGGAGACCCTTACAGAACAACAGAGTTAAGAATAAGAATAGAATAGAATAGAATAGAACAGAATTGGAAGGGACCTCAGAGGTCATCTAGTCGAACCCCCTGCTCAAGTGGGAGATCCTTACAGAACAACAGTTAAGAATAGAATAGAATAGAATAGAATAGAATAGAATAGTTGGAAGGGACATCAGAGGTCATCTAGTCCAACCCCCTGCTCAAGTGGGAGACCCTTACAGAACAACAGAGTTAAGAATAGAATAGAATAGAAATGAGAATAGAAATGAGAATAGAAATAAGGAATAGAATAGAATATAGAATTAACAGAATAGAATAGAATAGAATTGGAAGGGACCTCGGAGGTCATCTAGTCCAACCCCCTGCTCAAGCAGGAGACCTTTACAGAACAACAGAGTTAAGAATAGAATAGAATAGAATAGAATAGTTGGAAGGTACTTCCGAGGTCATCTAGTCCAACCCCCTGCTCAAGGAGATCCTTATAGAACAAAGTTTAGAATAGAATAGAATAGAATAGAGAATATAGAATATAAAATATAGAATAGAATAGAATAGAATATAGAATAGAATAGAATTGGAAGGGACCTCGGAGGTCATCTAGTCCAACCCCCTGCTCAAGCAGGAGACCTTTACAGAACAGAGTTAAGAATAGAATAGAATAGAATAGAATAGTTGCAAGGGACCTCAGAGGTCATCTAGTCCAACCCCCTGCTTAAGCAGGAGATCCTTACAGAACAACAGAGTTAAGAATAGAATAGAAAAGTTGCAAGTGACCTCAGAGGTCATCTAGTCCAACCCCCTCCTCAAGTGGGAGACCTTTACAGAACAACAGAGCTAAGATTAGATTAGAATAGAATAGAATCTGGAAGGGACCCCAGAGGTCATCTAGTCCAACCCCCCCCCCCCCCCGCTCAGTCGGGAGAACCTACACGCCATCTCTGGCCACTGACTGTCCCGCCTCTCCTTAAAAACCTCCAGCGACGGAGCGCCCGCCATTTCTGGTGGCCAGCAGTTCCGCCGGCTAATCGCCCACCCCGTCGGGAAGTTTCTCCTTCATTCCAGGTCGCTTCTCTCTCCGGTCCGTTTCCAACCGTGGTTTCTCGTGTTCCCCCCTCCGGCGCTTTGGAGGACAGCTTGANGCTAACCCCTAACCCTACCCCTAACCCCTAACCCTAACCCCTAACCCTAACTCTGGAGTGGGTGGGCGGACCGCATCTTCCCCCCGGAGAGCGGCGTTTGCGGAACCGGGAGTCCTTTCCGAGACTCGAACTCGCCACCCCACGACCACCGGCCCTACCCCGGCTCACCTCGTGGGGCTTCCGGTCCTGCTTGCGCAGCCGGGCGCTGGCCTCGGGCCGGTCCTTGCCCAGGTGCACCACCTGCCCTTTGGCGCCTTTCCGGACCAGGTGCCGGCGCACGCCGGGCACGTCCTCGAACCTGTGACCTGCAGGGGAGGATATTGGGGAAGGGGAGGGGGGGGAGAGAGAAATGAGGGGCGTGGAGCCGGCCGGTGCCCACCAGGCTTTCCTGGGGAATGGTCCGGGGATGAGACCCCCCAATCCCGCTCAGGCCTGCAAGGAAGGTGGGGGGGTCTCTGCACTGAAGGGACCTCAGAGGTCGTCTAGTCCAACCCCCTGCTCAAGGAGACTCTTACAGAACAACAGAGATAAGAACAGAATAGAATAGAATTGGAAGGGACCTCAGAGGTCATCTAGTCCAACCCCCTGCTCA